CCAAGGTGAGCTCACTTGAAAAAAACAATACGTTATTCACTAATTTACAGTTTCTAACTGTTTCTTAGCTTAAATTCAACGTAAATTGCTTTTGCCGCACCGCACATTTTTTGTTTCAGCTTTCAACGCGCATTTCTAGCGAGCAAAGAATTTAAAGCCCGTGCCAAACGAGGGAGAGTTGTCGAGAGTTCAAACTCTCGCTCTGACGTTTGACCTGAAATTCTTGTGCGCTGTCAGCGAATCTCACGCGTTCTCATCGAATTTGAACCTGCTCAAATTTTTCTCGAGAGACGTCGAGAGTTTTCTCTCGTTTGGCCCACCCTTGCTAAAGTCGATAAGAGTTGAAGCCGAAAACTCTCATGAGAGTCAACTTTCAGCAACTCTTGTCCTTTCATTTGTATCGTTCGTTGTTTAATTCTCGTAGCAGTTAGTGGTTAACCTAAATTGCGCGAAAATAGCCGAGGTTTTCGCTTGTTGTTTCCGTAGGTATACCCGACAAAAAATACCGGCTGTATTTATTTTTTGGCGGCGTAAAGCATGCGACCACGCCAAAAGCCTCGTCCCAAATGTTTAATCAAAAGGAATTCAGCACTTTGCAATGAAAATGAGATGAGTTTAATACATGTTTTGTTTGTCCTAAGTTTTTGTTAACCAAGTTTGCAAAAGTTTTTATTTGAAAACATTATTCGTTATATGTAATTGTAGGCTTTCTTTTTGTTCTCATGCTTAGCACTCTGTTACAAGTTAAGACAACGATTTTCTGCTTAAAATTGAATCAAACAAAACAATATTTTGAGTCGCTTCAATCCTCGATTATCGGATAAAGTCGGAGAGGAAAAAACTGCTTACAAACCTAATACCTGAGCGGTATGTTTGTTCAAAAGGATTTAACCACTTTTATGAGAAGCAAATAATTGTTACATGTTACTATCCATTGTCAGTTCGCTTGCAGCTGAACAAATTAAGAGTTTTATATATCTGTGCCAAAAACGAAATTGTTAAAAACATTGTTAATGTGGACACGAAGAATAGTAAATTGAATACGTTGATCAGAAACTACTAACATTGTTATTTGATTGCGTTTCCGGTAAATCGAATGACTTTTTTCATTAAGTTACCCGAACGTGTGGGAAACTGTTTTTTGATTAGTAGATCTAGATTGATGTAGCAGCACTGAACGACGGTGAAATATTGCGTCGAAAAACTAAAGTACCTGGGGTACAATAGCATGGTATTACTGAAAATTAATTAAAATCGAAATCCGAAAATCGATCGCAGTTCAATCGCCCGTTAGATTATAATTTATACAAGGGAAAAGAAAACGAGGTGGCAATTATGTGTTCCTTTTAGTTTAGGCAAAACCACATGTCAATTGATAAGACCCCCTTACGATGCAAAATTTCACAGGTTAAAACTGTCTTTGTAGTTTGATGAGTGTTCAGAGAACATTGTCTTTGTAGTTTGACGAGTAGCGCGAGCGTGGATCCGTTGTAGTTTGATGAGTGTTCAGAGAACGCACAGCTTGTACGGCATTTTACCGGCAATAAAGTATATCTCTAGCCTGCGTAGCTGGCGGTCTTGTTGGCGCGCGAAGTAAAAATTCTTCGTTGAAAAGGTTTCCGTGAAAAGAAACCTTTTGATGTAGAAAACGTCGTGACATCTACATGATCATTTGACATTACTTCAGTAAAATCCTGTAAAGGCCGGTCCGTGAGCTTCATGTGCAGTGCAAAATAGAAAAGATATACAAATACAGGTTTGTGCAGTGCTAACAAAAAAATGATAAAAATATATATATAAAAAACTGGGTCAACTGTAAATGGTCGGTCATGCAAAGAGGTAGTCACTGACCGAGCCGAGTTAAAGCTATTCAGTCGAGGCTATGTTTATGAGCTGCGAAGGTAACTCGTTCCAGTCAATGTTGGCCTTGGCTAGACTACGAGTAGTCCTTCATTTTTCTCAGGGATATAGGACCGGGATAGTTGAGTGAGAAAGCACGCGTCGCGTGTCCTCGAGGTGATCGCGGGCGCTCGGCGTGCTCTCCCACTCAACTATCCCTGAGAAAAATGAGGGACTGCTCGTAGTTTAATAGTCCTTGGCCAAAAACTGAAGTTGTATTCATCGCATGATGTATGGACTAGGATGAAGTGCAGTGGGTGAGAAGAGTGTGGTTTTGACACAGATTTGTGATATCGGTTTGTCACGGGTACTTTGAACATCAGCTTCTATTTCAATTAAAAAAAGGCGTTAGTTAGTTGTTTTATGTCATTTAGCTATTAACCACATGTACAGTGAAAGAGTAAGTGAGGCGGTCATTTAAAACGAAAAAGGTCATAAGAAATACAATATTCGTGAATATTCCAATATTTAAATCGTCAATCGTTTCATTTCAGTTTCTATTACATCCTAATTCTAAAGGAGAAGACAAAACAAAACAAAACAAAATCACACAAAGCATTTGCCTAAAAATAAATTTTACGTACTTTCCCGCTCGTCAACATCGCTCGTCGTCAGTGAAAATACATCTATGACGAATAAAACAACGTTTGATAATAATAAGCAATGATGATGACGGTAGAAAACACGTCACTGATAAGCAAAATTCTCTGCAGGCATAGTCACGAAAAGAGGCCAGCGAGGAGAGTGTCATCGGGGTTTTTTGACGCATGCGCGCATTCAAACTCGTACCCAGGTTGCCCCATTCGCCGCATGTATCCTGTCATCATAGGATAGGTAATACACATCGTAAAAACCTGCGGCCTTACCAGGACTGTTCTAAAATGATCTGAATAAGGAATATGTACACTGCTATAGGCTGTGAAAACAACAGCAACAACAACAAAAAAAGAAAGAAAAAAAAGAAACTGAAACATACAAAAACTAGAAAATTAAAAACAATAACAACAACAAAAGAGAAACAGAAAACAAACAAACAAACAATCAAACAAAAAACGAACAAGAGAGACAGAAGACAGAAATACTGAAAAATAAACAGACAATCAAACCAAAACAGAAAGAAGCAGTAAAGCAGGAAAATACGTGCGACCAAGTCACGATTGGTTTTAGTTTTGCATCTGATTGGTTGATTATATATGTGACGCGGGTCAGTTTTAAACCAATCACAGAGCGTAGTAAAGCAAAACCAAAGCAATTCCGAATTTCTTTCGACACTCAATTGAAAACCTCTCTGACACATATAATTGATATAACTGAGCGATATAATTGATATCTCTCTTGATAAAAACCTTTAGTTCAGTTTGAAAGTGCAGTTTTTGTCAACATCGATCCCCGATCTTCATTTTGCACAGCTTTCTGCACTGTTAATTTTGTGATATTTTTCAGTCAAGTAATCCAATATCAGTTATTGTTACTAACAAGGTAAGCCCGTGGTTATTGGCCTTATTTTTATTTATATATTAAAGTATGTAATCATCATTTCAGTTTAGTTGTGGCCAATAATTTTAATCAGTGTTTGTTCTTCTTGGAAGTAAGCCGATCAAATGATTCATAACTTTTATGCTTTCTTTGAAGCGATGTTGTGTTAAGTTTCAAATGGTTTAGTGACGAGAACGGATGTTTTTTTTTGGAGAAGCTGATTCTTAATCTTTCCGAAAGAAGAAAGGCTAATTTGTGTTCCTGCATGTACTAATATGAAAGCACTATATACAATTTAAACTGTTTTGGGTTTCAAATGCAAGGATTTCGTAAAGGACTGGATTGTTTCCGGCTTTTATTATTGAACTTTGAAATTAGAAACATTGCCGATAAAAGGCCAACTAGAACAATTACTCTTGAAAAGGAGTTCGGCAGACTGTAATTTCAACCTATTACTTTATTTGACAGTTACTTAATACGAAGCCGGCAAACTTTGTTAGCTTTAGGCAAAAAGTTATTTCCATGCTTTGAATCAGATCAGGTTTTGCTATCGATTGCCGCCAAACTTCAGAACTGACGGTGAATTCATGCAACATACGCAGCCAAGTAAATGGGTTACTTCGAAATCAGATATATTTTTGATATAATTTCACTTGAGTATTGTTGGTTATTGGCAGTTTATAAATCTTGAGATTACAAGACCGGATTCTCTGAAGTAACAATTTTCTTATGTGTTTTAAAAGCGTTAATTAAAAATTGTCGGCACACCGACACTTCTTGACAGCGCAGGAAATAAAATTGTCAACAAGCTAATACTCGAAATAAATACATAGCAAAAGTGATATTATATATTCTTGTTTTCCTTTCGCTCTGTTCTATATAAGCCGCGTGTTTGAAATAACCTCGTTCAGAATAAGAATCTTCTTTTAACTGAGAGTCAAACCGGCGTTGAATAGAGCAAAACTGTGCTACTGAATCGTAACAAGAGGTTTGTAAATCTCATATTTATTTTTCCTCACTACATCTCTTCAATACAATGCACAATTTATTGAAACTGCATGTCCTTATAAGCCTCAATTGTTCCTGATTTTGTCTTAAAATTCATAGGTTTTCCAGTGTTTCCGAAGAGCAAGGATTGCTCGAATCAGGGTTAGAATACTGATAAACATCGATTAGTGAATCGTGCATATTAAAGAAATAAAAAAGTTAACTATTGAATTCAGTTATAACCAAATATCAGAGCTTTCAAAAATTCACAGAAATGAGATTTCAAAATCATATTTTTGAACAACGCTAAAATTTTTGCTTAATTTCAATCAGACTGAAAACGTTCGTTCTTTAGAGTAGTAGCTAATCAGCCGCAGACGGACTCAACCGGTTGAGTCCGTCTGCGACGCAGGCTAATATTCAGCTTAACATGAAAATTGTTATTTGATCATCAATCGAAAATGGCAGAATGATATCAAAATGTTTCAACTGATAACTTTCTTTTTAAGCAGAATAAAATCTAAATCTACGTTAATTGATATTTAGAGTTGGGCTGGAAAAGTTATAAGTTTGGCAGAAATATGAGAAAGATGTTTTATCAGTCAGTGACACAAGCTTCTCGGAAAAAAATATCCGAGATCTCCCAACAGGAGTTGAACCTATGACCTTCCGCTCATCTGTCGGACGCTCTACCACTGAGCTACAGAAGACTTTTTGGAGTTTATAGGTTCAAATGTGACAAACATCCCGCATACTGCGACACAGCGGCAAAATGAGTGAACTCTTTGAGCTATGTTTTCGTTTTTCACTTACGATCGCTCGACTTCGAGCGAAAAATTCACTATTGTTGCAAGGATAATTAGTTTGCTAAAAAAGATATGTGAAAGAAGAGTCTCTCTCGGAATTGTTTTCAAGGTAAAAAACCTTATCTGTTCCGTGACGGCCTTATCCACCCGAAATCAAAACAAATACCGGGAATTTTGAATTGCCGCCATTATGTTTGTATGGAAATGAGCGAGCAGGTTGGCGCACGCGCACTCATTTTGCCGCTGTGCCGCATACTGCTAGGATTAGGATTAGTTTTGTTGATATAGGTCGAAATAAATATGATGGCGAATTTTAAGCTTGTTAAGTTGTTTGAAAGAGCCAAAGAGCAATTTAGAATTTTTAAAATCAATTGTAATAATCCATATTTGAATTGTTAAATTCACACAGTTTGCTAGCATTGTACAATTCCATTTTGGTGGTTTTGTTCGCTAAACAAGTTACAAGATGTCAGTTCGCCCCAGTTTCCTTATGGTCTTTGTCATTCTCGTGCTGCTACTGGGCCTGGAAGCTAAGCCGTTGCATGAGACATCTGACGTCAGTGATGACGACACCAACCTGAACGTCGAAGAGCCACGACACTTCTTGACAAAAAAGCGCTACAAAGCATCCTCAGCTACGGGAATTCTACGCCGATTTCAAAAAGTTAAAAGATGCAGATATCTACATTGCGACTACGGGCGATGAAAAAGAGCTACACTGGTCGGACTGCCATTGATGCAATTCATAAAGTATCGCTTAATTACCTCTTCAATATTGCGTAATAACGAAATTAGTAGCAACAGAAATCATAGTTAGGATGAATGCCCAAAGAACTAGTGGGGTAAATGATGATATATACAGTGAAGATGACGCTACCGTTGCCACTCGACAAAGTTTTTGATTAATTTTTTGACATCTTTGACAACTTTGAGGTTCCGTTTTGTGGCGCCACATTTGAACTACACTAGAGACTAAAACCATTCAAATTCCACGACTCCGCCTCCAACACTCCTTGGATTTTGATTGGTCAAGTCAAACGGAACCCATCCGAAAGTCGTCAAAAAGTTGTCAAAAAGATGTCAAAAATTAATCAAAAACTTTGTCGAGTTGCAACGGTAGCGTCATCTTCACTGTAAATATGATCGAGTGTAAGAATTTTTGTCTTGAAATCTCGAAAACCTCAGCTCAGAGGTTTTGCCACTCGAAAGATCGAGTTCAGTGTGACATTCTCTACCCCTGCTAGTACCCGGCTAGTTAACTAGATGTAACAGTTTGTTACTGTTCTATCATATTGTTGTAAACAATTAAACATAATACTGCAGAAAAGTGGAATAATCAAGAAAGTTCAACGTGAAATCTCTGTAGTTGCTGCCGTGAACCGCAATTTTAAAAAGATGAATAAAAGATAACTTGGGCACATTGATAAAGTCTGAAGTCTAAATTACTTTACAATATACTCACCACAGGATATTGCAATTTTTGACAATCTGATTGGTTCACGAGAAAGAAAACAAAATGGGGGAGGGGGAATGGGGAAGAGAAAAAAGGAAAAAGGTTACCTGCCAAAAATGAACAATGCTCTCGAGATCTGCCAATGTGCGTTTTCACTTTCTCGTCTCCAGTTCCCCATCGGTCAGATTCCTTGTTGCCTGGCTCCCACAAAGTTGCCATCGGAGGACGGGCTACTAAAAAATGTGCCATCTTGGTTCTATTTTATTAAAATATTCCTAACACTCATCAATATTCACCTTGTATAGCATACTAGTCCATCGCAGCATTTTTGTCAAGTTGCTCTGACAATTCGCTGGTACCCATTTATACTCCTGGGTGGAGAGAGGTACTGTAAGAGTAAAGTGCCTTGCCCAAGAACACAACACAATGACCCCAGTTAGAGCTCAAACCCGGTCCGCTTGATCCGGAGTCCAACGCGCTAACAAATTAAGAGTTTATCAACTCCCCTAATTATTTTACTATAATATGTAACGAGGAAGTTCGTTTCAAAGCGTATTTATACATGTTTATTTTTCTTCAAGTTAACTTGACAAATGAGTAGAAGTTTTTCGGCCTAATACTGATTCGATTCCTTCAGTGCGGTCATGTGTCTTTGGTTATTAAAATAAGAGTTTCATCGATCGATTTACTAAATCAAAACCATTTCGGTGAGTTTTTTTTTGCAAATATGTATCAGTGTTTGTCCGGGTAAAACATTCTTGAACTGATCTAAAAGTTAGTAATTGTTTTCTTCTACTTCTCGTCTAAGGTTTGGTTTGGCGGCATCTTGTTCACTTCGAATTCGTCCTTGACACAACTGCATGGCGGTGAAACACAAGTCATGGAGATCTCTTCTAGATTGTAGTTTTTCCTGCAACGAAAAAAAATACATGTTACTCTGAAAACCGAAAACGGAGAAGGAAGAACGGGGAACGGGGATCAGCTCCATAAGGTACAACTTTTTGCAAAGTTTAAAACAATCCCGTCGAGGAGGTTCAGAGCCACCTTAACGTTTTGAAAATTTAAGGTGGCTCTGAACCTACCCGAGGAAATTTTTTTAAACTTTGCAAAAAGTTGTATCTTAGCGTGCTGATTATTTTTCAAAAATAAAAAATGGGGGTCACCGTGCTCGTTTTTGAGTTATAAGCACTTAAAGCTAAAATTAAGGGTGGTTTATACAGGTTATACTGTTGCTATGGTAACCTTTTATGTCGAGCAGATGATAATAACTTGTTCACCAATAATTGGGCATTCGTTTGATACCATTATTTTACCATCAACTGATATAGGATGGCAGTAGCGATCGATCAATCAAAGCACAAGGCCTGTAAACAGTTACCTGGAAACAGCATTTTGTTGGCTTCAATTGATCGCAAATGGCAGAAGAAACAACGGTCGCGAGACGATTGAACGTTTAAATGAGATGTTTCTTTGCTCGTTTCATAAGAACTGCATGGTTCATTCTTTTTGGGAAAAACAGTACAAAAGTTTTAATGGTGGAAGCTAGAAGATAAATCTGAACAGGAGTTGAGAAACATTGAACGTCGACCCAGACCTCAAAATTCAAATTCCGCATGTAAACCATGTTTACTTTAAAAGAAAACTGACTGAATCCTACAATTAAGGTTTCATTTGGAAATCTTTATTAATCGAGAAAGGCAAGAACTGAACCGAGTCATGTTGTTTCGAGCTGGGTTTGGCAAGAGTTTCAAATAATTCGCGAACATATGTTTACTGTTGTTCTCAAAACACGCTAGCAAGTTCGCCGAGTGCCGTCTTCACCTCTATTTTATTCTCGCTTTAGCGGCATTAGCACCAAGCATTTCGCCTCTCCCTTCTTTACAAATTTCTCCATTCAAAAAATCGGTTAAAAAACTGTAGAGATTCCCCTTCATATTTTTAAATTCATCGAACACTACGTACAGTGTACATGTCTCAGAACTGCCGTAAATCTGCTTGTATCCGTTGACTTGCCGAGAAACAAAATCGCAAACACTGACCGGCAAATAGTACAGAAATCAACTCGGTTGAAATTAAAAGCTGCAAAATCTTTTTGTTTATTCGTTTTCTTTCACCCTCCTTTTATTAGCACATCTATAAATGTCTTATTACTTGTCGAGTTGCGCTTTATCGAGCGTAAACTATTTTCGAAGTGATTTTATTTAGAAGCTCATTCTGCTGGCTTTTTTTCAGCGACGCTAACCAATGAGGCGCTTTCATTGCGGACTATGATTGACAGGCTGAACACCTCAGCCTCGCTTTATAGGATCGCTCCGTGTTTAAATAAGGTACTAGCTGCCTAGAATAACCATATAATGGCTAAAGGCAGCTATCCTATATAATTAGGAAAACAAAAAACTCTGTCGAAGATGGAACGAAAATGGAACGAAAATGGCGCGAGTCTCCATATATAATAATATATAATTATTAGTAAAAATCTACTAGTGTACTAATGCAAATGAGATAATCTGATTGGCTGAGCTACTCGTACACTATCAGCCATTAGTGTGCAGTGGCTGGAGGTCGTCTACACAATTGCGGTTTTTCTTCTCGTTTCTCTGAAGTTTCGGAAGAAGATTTAGAGTTAATACTAGACAATTGTTATGATTTTTACTAAAACAATTAGTAAAAATCTACTAGTGTACTAATGCAAATGAGACGATCTGATTAGCTGAGCTACTCGTATACTATCAGCCATTAGTATGCAGAGACTGGAGGTCGTCTACAAAATTGCGGCCGGGGGGTTTCTTCTCTTTTCTCTTTAGTTTTGGAAGAGGATTTAGAGTTATTACAAGAAATTGTTATAATTTTTACTAAAACAATTAGATTATTCGCTCTCAATTTCTATGAAGTGATAGTTGATATCACATCATAGAAATATCGAGCTCATAATCTAATTTGTTAACTATAGAGCGTTCGACCGGCGCGCCGGAATCGTGGCCATCAGTTCGACTTCTTTTGGTACAACTCAGAACTTGTTCTTTCGAGTACTAGCTTGAGTCACTGAAGATTAAACATCTCAGTTTCTCAGTTTATTCGTATCAAAATTCTTCTGAAAATTCTCTTTGCAAAGCGTCGATATAAAACAACAATCTATCAAGTTACAAATGCAAAGGAAGATAATAACAGTTATTAAAACAAACTGGCGAAAACGTTACCTTAAATATTCTCTTTCCAACTTGGCCACCGTTTGAGGTGTAAGCCTCCGAGCAGCTCAAGGCACAGAGCACAACAGTCATCACAACAAGAAGTTTGAAGTCCATGCCTTTCTGGTATTATCAGCGTTTTTCTTCCGTTTCACCACGTTCCCTGGACGTCAGTTTGCTTGTGCAAGAATACTTGCCAGCTCGTTTTATTTATAGGTCTTTATGGAGCATCTGTGTGTTCGTTTATGAATGGCGGTAAAACTGTC